CGCGCCCCGCTCACCTGCTCCGTTACTCCTAGCCCGCCGCCAGGACGAAGCTGGGCCTCCTGGAGAAGAAGAAGGACTACCGGCTGCGTGCGCGGTGAGTGCGGCCGCCGGGCGGGCAGGTCTCCTCCGCCGGCCCCCCGCTCCAAGCGTCGCGGGGCCAAGCTCGGAGGTGTTGCTGAACGGCTCCTGCCTGTGTTCTGTTCCTCCCCAGCGACTACCACAAGAAGCAGAATGCCCTCAGGGCCCTGCAGAAGAAGGCTCTGGACAAGAACCCTGATGAGTTCTACTTCAAGATGATCCGTGCAGAGCTCAAGGTGAGGATCCCACTGCCCCTGGCAGAGCCACGCTCTGTGCCTCTGAGTAACGCCCTTTCCCCCGTCTTGTCTTGATTTTGATTCATGAGCTAGGAGATAAATCATGAGAATTGTTTTGGTGCCTGTGGAATGCTCTGAAGAAAGCGAGGGGCAAAGGGCAGAGCAGCTCTTTGCTGTCATCCTCAGGCCCCGCAGTGCATGGGAGGTGGGATGGTCTGTGAGTGCTCTGTCCTCTGGTTTAGGATGGAACCCACATCATAAAGCAGCCAAAGGATGAGGTGACCCCAGAGCAGGTGAAGCTGATGAGGACACAGGACATCAAGTATGTGGAGATGAAAAGAGTGGCAGAAGCCAAGGTAATAACTCACTTTTGTAGTGTTTTCTTGTTTGCTCAGAACTGGTTTTCGTGTGCTGTTGCTGGATGTTGTGTTTGTTCAGTTTGTACAGTGCTGGGAATGTCACTGGAGCACTGGGTACAGAGCCTAGAGCTGTGCTGAACATCACAAACTGCACTTGGCATTATTGCACAACAGTGATTTCTGTGTGAATTTCAGACACTAAACATGTGCTCTTGCTGCCCAAGCTTGTAAAGGAGTCATGGAACCATTGGGGTGGGAAAAGCCCTCTCAGATCACAGAGTCCAACCACCCCCAGCACTGCCCTGGCCACCACCTACTATGTCCCCAGGTACAACGGCCTCTTGGACACTCCCAGAGATGGTGACTCCACCCCTGCCCCGAGCAGATGTGCCAGGGACTGACCACCCTGTCAGGGAAGAAGTTTTCCCTGATATCCAACCTAAACTGTCCCTGGCACAGCTCGAGACTGTTTCCTTGTCCTGTCCCTTGTCCCCTGGGAGCAGAGCCTGACTCCAGCTGGCTGCACCTCCTGTCAGGGAGCTGTAGAGTGCCAGAAGGCAGGTTGTTGGAATGTGGTGGGCAGGCAATCCATGGAGATAAGATCCTCTTCTGAAAACGGCCGGTGCTCTGAGCTTGATGCACAAATCAGAGTCAAATTGTCACTGCAGATAAAAAAAATCAGAGAAAGGCAGGTTGAACTTACCTTCACACATCTGCAAGTGGTTGCCATGCTAAAGAGCTCAGCTTTCCAGTGGC